CCCACACCCCCTGCCGCCCCAGCTCTGGGCTCCCTAATTCCTCCCCACCATTGCCCCCCACACACACCTTCTGCCGCCCCAGCCCTGGGTTCTCTCTCCCCCCCCACCTGCACCCTCCTTCTGCTGCAGCCCTGGGTCACTGGTAACTCGCTCCCACGGCAGGTCATTCAGCAGGAATTTTAGATGTGCACAGAACACAGACAGGATTGGTTCCCATATGGTTACAGAACTGCAGTAAAGTGGAACAATTTTCAGCTTGTGTGACTGGAGGATATCTGGATGCATATTATAAGACTGTCCTACATAAATGAGGAAAAGTTGAGGTGCCTTTATTATTCTTTTGTTCCACTCTTTCTTTCTATGGGGAATTTGCCAATGCAATATCACTGTCTTCCTTTTAAACAAACAAACAAACAAACAAAAAGGCAATGGCTGTTGAAAATAGCAATTCCAGTCCTAATAACCACTGGGAAGCATTTCTTGCTCAATTTTATCCTACTTTTTCTACAGCAAGTTACAGTGGATCAGTATATTTGATTTGGGAGAAATGAAGTAACAGCTGCCCAAACTGAGCTTGAACACTCCTGAATTTTGAGGTGTTCAAATCTGGAAGGCAGGTGCTAGATTCCCTTTCTGAATATTAGCTAAATCTGGAAAGGAAAAGTCCATTTCTGCTTCCATGGCTCAGAAGTGGAAATCCTCCTATGTGCCTGGTACTGTATCTAAAGCTGTCCAGGTCCAGAGCCTCCCCTCCCTTACTTTTCGTTTTAAATTCTAGTGGGATCCACATACCTCCCTTGCTAGGCTTCAGATAGAGAGGGGCACTGTCCATTTAGTCCACACAATTCCGTCTTTGGGGGCTGCAAGGTGAGGTCACACCAGTATCCCTAATCCAGTCTGGGGATGTCTTCTGAAGGGGATATCTGGGAGAAAGCCTTCTACTCCTTGGGCACACTTGTTCCCCATTCACAGTGCCACCCCACTCTAGCAGTGAGCTCTCCATTCACAGCAAGCTGCAGCATGAGGTTTCAGCTACCATACTCCCTCCCCCTCCCTTTCCTGTTGATAGCAGCCAAGGGAATGCTGGGAAATGTAGTTCTTTCCCTGCTCCAGGGCTGGCTCTATAGGCAGGGAGCTAACCAAGGAACTACAGCTCCCAGGTCCCCCTGTTGGTTCTCAGCTCCCAGGCTGGATCCCTGCCGGTTGCCGCTCCTGCAAACGGGCTGCCCCAAGCAGGTGCTTGCTTTGCTGGTGCCTAGAGCCGCCCCTGCTCTGACCTGCACACTTGCAAGTAAGGGTTGCTGGCTCTCAAAGGTCCTGATGCAGCTTAACCCTTTGCACCAATCCCTCTTCCCAAATCACACACAAGTGTCTTAGTTAAAACTAAAATCTGACCCGATGCGCACAGTAGTAAAACAGCTGTAAACATATGGGGTCAAACGCTGCCACCCTTCACATTTCCTTCCAAAAAGGATGGAAGTAGATTAGGGGAGCGGGTATTTAGGGTAAAACAATGGACCACACCTCTGGTTTTAAACATGGCCTTTAATTTTATTCCACTGCTCAGTACACAGAGAACCCATATAAATTCTGTACTAGTGGGTTTCAAGAGAGCCAAACTGGAATGCCACAGTACCTCATAGTTCCCCTCTTGCTTGTGACTACATGCACCACAAATCCATGATCTGGCCCATAAATTCTTCTCGGCCATTTACCCAGTTCAACCAAGAACAGCTGATTCAAGAATAGTTTATGATTATCCCCTCAATGTATTTTAAAAATGACTTGGACAGTGCCACCCCACAAACTGCATACATCAGAGACAATGAAACCAAGTTGCCTTTGATGGGTAGCCGCTATGTTTCCTTGAAAGGAGAGGGCCAAAAAATAAAAAAATAAAATCAGTTTTACATTTCTATGTTGTAAACAGTGGTAACCATAATAGCAGCAGCTGGGGCTGTGTTGTACAATTATATTTTGTAAACATTCTTTTATCACAGGCATTTACTCACTGAAAAGTTGCTTGAATGACTCAGCATCTGCTATATACTGTGTACCATTCTTTGCAGATGTTGAATTCTGCATCAGCTAGAGACTATAAATATTGAGAATTCAGACAGAATGTGTGTCTGGCTGTCTAAGACCATAGTTTACCATGAAAATCAAATAATAAATAAATAAATAAATAAATAATAAAAGTAAATTACTACAGATATAAGGATTTACATTTCAAATTACTGTACAATTATTAACCATTTAATTCTAAAAAAAAGCTGTATGGGGAAGGTAAGTAGAATTCCTAAAAAAGGTAATGTCCAAGTTCCCAGGCATCTGCCCTCTCTGTAGAGTTTGGAGTAAGGCAGTTCCATGCTAAAACAATAAAAGCAACCGATTAGGGCAGGCAGTCGTGAGGGAACCTGTTTCGGGAGGAAAAGAGGGAAACAAAGGCTGGAGAGAAACAAAGGTCGGGGAAGCCATGTGACATTGCTAGCAGCAGCTCGGAGGGAAAACAGAGCCTGATAATTCTTCATAGCTGTTGCTAGGCATAGTGTGAACTGAACATGAAAGCCTGAACTACACCATAAACAGCTGAGAAAGGAAGTAATGCAATGAATGCTGGTGTATGGTATATCAAGGCAATAACATGTTCTTTTACTCAAGACCTGGGGTACAAATATCCTTGGTTTATAGAAGCATGTTCGTAAGCTAGTTGGGCTACATCTACCCTATGAGCCTCAATTACAAACGTAGGGTATGATTAACTATTAAATTTTGAATAGTAGCCACCGTTTGGTTTTGATGTTTTGAATTGCACCATTCAAAATTATTTTAACAATACGTACCAGGGTAAGTTTGGTCAAATAGATCTATAAAAATTACACAGGACAAGAATCAATAAAAATAACACA